GAGCCCGCCGCCCGCGCTCGGGATCTTGAGTTCCCCACGGGCTGCCCGCCTGAACTCCGCGAGCCTCAGGGAGGTTCACCTGAGCTCACTGAGGTTCACCTGAGCTCCCGAGTTGCCTCCAAGCTAGGATCCGCGGAGCTTGGTCCGGTAATGATTAAGCCGACAGCCAATGCAGCGTCTCGGCGCGTGCACACCCTTTGGTGGCCCGGGGCGCACCTGGATTTGGGGACGCGGCCACGGGCTGCCCGCCTGAACTCCGCGAGCCTCAGGGAGGTTCACCTGAGCTCACTGAGGTTCACCTGAGCTCCCGAGTTGCCTCCAAGCTAGGATCCGCGGAGCTTGGTCCGGTAATGATTAAGCCGACAGCCAATGCAGCGTCTCGGCGCGTGCACACCCTTTGGTGGCCCGGGGCGCACCTGGATTTGGGGACGCGGCACGCAGGAACTTGTGGGTGAGGGTGGCGCTTGGCCTCTGGCCCTGCGCAGAATGGGAAGCCCCACTGCGTGATCAGGCTGGTCCTAGGGGTGCCCCGGCTGGAGGGAGCAGATAGTAGGAACCCCTCCCCTCTTCAGCCGCCGTCAACTGCCAGAGCCCCCCTCCTGGCACTGTGGTCCCTTGTACCGCTGCAGGAGCCGCGCTCTGCTGGGCCTGAGATGGGTTTGCTTGCTCAGGAGGTTCATCCATTTCCTTCTCCATTCTTCTCTTCCCCATAGGTCAGTCCCTCCATTTCTCAGGTGTAAGTGGGAATAGGGGGGAAGGTTTGAGGGACTTACTGTAAAATATCTCCCTTGTGGTCCCATCTAAGAGGACCATCGGCAAAGGGATGTTGGCAAATGCAGCCCCTCCCCAAAGACAAAATAAAATATTGAGGTGCTGAGGCAGAGGATATGGTGTGTTTGTGCCCCCCCCCCCCCCCCCAAATTCTAGGTATGGAGGAGACCAGGAGATTTGTAGGAAACAGAGAAGGGGGGGAGCGGGCAACAGGCCAGATAGCATCCAGGTCCTTCCCCTTCTGGCACCCTCCTCCCACCTAGCAGGCATCTACACTGCCCCCCACAGATGGCTGCAGGGCATCTGCTTCTCCCGTCCTGAGCAGAGGTGGCTCCTTTCAGGGTGGGCAATTCTAAGCTGACACTGGCTCTCTCGGGTTGGCTGAGACCTGCCTCTCCTAATTTTCCCACTCGGGGGGCTGCACCTGGAGGCCCTCTTTAGACAGCCCTCCAGCCATTCCCAGGGAAAGGTTTCCCTCCGCTGCTTCCCTCGCAGCCAGACAACTTCAGCAGGGCTGCTGGAGGCTTGGTGTAGAAACCCCCTGGAGCAGGGGTCCTCAAACTACAGCCCGCGGGCCACATGCGGCCCACCGAAAACATTTATCCGGCCCGCCGGGTGTTTTTGCCGCAGCTGCCTGTTGCTTAGCAGCCGACTAGTTTTTTTTTTAAACTATAGTCCGGCCCTCCAATGGTCTGAGGGACAGTGAACTGGCCCCCTGTTTAAAAAGTTTGAGGACCCCTGCGCCTGGAGGCTAAAGCTGTCAGAGGAGCTCCAAGTCTCTGATGACATGGAGACCCTCCCCAGTGCACACAGCAAGTAGTGGAGTGCCCTTTATTCTGTAAACGTGCGTATTTTGTTGATGTTAACTTTTTTTTTGCTTCCATGAAATGGTGAGTGTAGTAACAGTGAATACTTAGTAGGTACCAGGTGCTAAGTGCTCTGTGTATATTTTAAAAATAACTTTAAGGTTATTTTACATATCATAAAATTCACCCATTTCAAGTGTACAATTCAGTGATTGATAATAACTTCACCAAGTTGTGAAACCATTACCATAAATTAGTTTGGGAACATTTTCATCCCATGTAAGATCCTTATACCCATTTACAGTTAAACCCCATCCCCTCCTTTACCCTCTGGGCAGCCACAAACCTACTTCCTGGCTCTATAAATTAGTCTCCTCTGGACACTTTATATTAATGGAACCAAAAATATGTGGTCTCTTGTGTCTGTTTATGTATATTTCTTTATAATTCCAACTAGAGGCCCGATGCACAAAAATTCATTCAAGAGTAGGCCTTCCTTCCCTGGCTGCCGGCACTGGCTTCCCTCTGGCACCCGGGACCCAGGTTTCCCTCCTCCGGCCTCCAGCAGGCACCAGGACCTGGGCTGGCTTCCCTCGGGCCACCCGCAGGCACCCAGGACTCAGGCTGGCTTCCCTCCAGCCCTGGCTTCATCAGGAAGGACATCTGGAAGATGTATGGTCTAATTAGCATATTACCCTTTTATTATTATAGATGAGGTAGCTATGATTATTACATCCCCATTTTACAGATGAGGACACACGGAGAAATTCAGTGGCTTTCCCAAGGCCCTCCTGTGGCATGAGCCCTGGAGTAACCCAGGCAGTCTGGCATCAGGGCCATTTTAACCCCTGTGCTTGTCTGTGCTGTTTTCTTAATGACCTCGCATGGTAAAATTTCACCATTACATCCTTCACATTTTGTTTGAAATTGTACTGGTCTGTAGAGTCCCACGGCCTGACAGTCTGATTTCTTATATTGCATCCCTGCTTTCAGATGGGCCAGCTAAATGAACAGGGAGATGCTGGCCCAGGGCTGGATCTGGGGCGTGGTCCTGAGTGATGCCCATAGTGAAGGATGCACTCACTGGGGTAGGGAGCAGCCGGAGCCTGAGGACCAGACTCCTTCCTTACCTGCTGGGAAGGGTTCATGTGGAGTGAATGTTCCAGCTCCCAGCTGTCCATCACCTTTCTGCTTCTGCCCAATTCTGTGGGAAGCAGAGGCTGTGAAGGGTCAGGAGGTTCGAGACAAGAGCTGGTTTCTTTCCCTGTAAATATCTCATATTTTAGTACCCCTTTCCTACCTTACCTGATGAGCAGAGACACTTTCTAGCAGAGACACTTTCTTCCTCATCACTGTGATGAAGAATTTGTCTTAGAAAAATGGCTCCTGTTTCAATCTCATCGCCACTGACTTCTCCAATAAGGGCTGCTTAATCTACATGACCTCAGAGTAACCTTCCCTCCAAAATGGTTCCAGTCTTGTGAATGTGTATGGGTAGGCATTTTCCTGTGAAAAGACCCAGAGTATCCGTCACCTTTTCAAAGAGGCCTTCTCTAAAAATAAAATAATAAAATCAATAGCAGCAGCATCTCTTTTTGAATGTCCTGTAAGTGCTAGGCTCTCTGCTGGCACTTATATTCATAACCTCGTTTTACTCTTACAGTGGGGCTGTGAAGTAGGTGCTAATATTATTTCCACCTACCCAGCTAAAGTTAAGTAACCTGCAGGTAACTGAAAAGTCTCTAGGTTTTCTCTTCATATCCTCCCCCTTTTTTGAGATGAATTTACAGAACATAAAATTAGCCATTTTAGAGCGTGCGATTCTGTGGCATCTAGTACATTCACAGTGCCCTGTAACCATCACCTCTATCTAATTCCAGAGCATTTTCCTCATGCCCAACGAAGTCCCTGGACCCATGCCGCCACTCCTGTCTCCCCTCCCCCAAGCCTTGGCAATTGCCAGTCTGCTTTCTGTCTCTATGGATTTACCTGTTCTGGATAATTCATATAAATGGAATCAGTCTGGCCTCTTCATTTTCATCATGTTTTCAACGTTCATTCACACTGTGACCTGTATCAGCACTTCATTCCTAGTTATAGCTAATAACATCCCATTGGATGGGTAGACCACATTTTGTTTATCCGTTCATCCAGTGATGGGCAATTGGGCTGTTTCCACCTGCTGCCCATTGTGGATAGTGCTGCTACGGGCATGTGTGCACATGTACTTGTTTGAGTGCCTGTTTTCATTTCTTCTGGATATTTGCCTAGGAATGGAATTGCTGGGTCGTTTGGTAATTCAATACTTAACTTTTTGAGGAACTGCCGCACTGTTTTCCACAGTGGCTGCACCATTTTAGATTTCTTTTTTATTTTTATTTAAGTTTTATTTTTTAAAATATATTTTTATTGATTTCAGAGAGGAAGGGAGAGGGAGAGAGATAGATACATCAATAATGAGAGAGAATCACTGATCAATCAGCTGCCTCCTGCATGTCCCCACTGGGGATCGAGCCCGCAACCCGGGCATGTGGGTATTGAACCCGTGACCTCCTGGTTTATAGGCCGACGCTCAACCACTGAGCCACGCCGGCAAGGCATGCACCATTTTATATTTCCACCAGCAATGTATGAGAGTTCTAATTTCCTCATATCCTCGATGACACTTGCTTTCCTCTTCTTTGGTTTAAATGGTAGCTGTCCTAGTGGGTGTGGAGGGGGATCTCGCTGTGGTTCTGATTTGCACTTCCCTAATGACTAATGATGTGGAGCATCTTTTCCTGTACTTGTTAGTCATTTGCATCTCTTCTTTGGAGAAATGTTTCTTCAAGTCCTTTGCCCATTTTTTTTTTTAAGGTGTAAGAGTTCTTTACATATTCTGGATACTAGGTTCTTATCAACATATGATTTGTAAATATTTCCCCCCATTCTGTAGGTTGACTTCATTTTCTTAATAGTATCCTTTGATGCACAAAAGTTTAAAATGTTTATGATGTTCAATTTATCTATTTTTTTCATTTGTTACTTGTGCCTTTGGTGTCATATCTAAGAATCTACTATAAATCTAAGGTCATGAAGATTTTCCCCTGTGTTTTAGTATGTGGCTTTTATAGTTTTAAGGTTTCCATTTAGGTCTGTGTTCTATTTTGAGTTAATCTTGTATATGGTAGGAGCTAGTGTGTCTAACTTCATTCTTTTGCATGTAAATACCCAGTTATCCCAGCACCTTCACCGCCCTTTGTGGGGGGTGGGGAGGGTGCGCTTGTTTCTTAGGGCAGAACCGGGTTTTACTCCACTTTTTCTCTGCCTTCCTCCATGCCTTGGCCAGTGCCTAGCACATTGCGAGGCCTCTCTGGTGAGTGGGCATTGCTAGAATAAGTGAATGTAAGTCCCTGAGCCCTCTGTCCAAGTGCAAGTGCAGGCTGAGTGACCCGGTATTCTTCTTCCATCCACAGGTGCAGCCAGTGTCATTGTCGGCTACCCTCTGGACACGGTCAAGGTACGATGGCCCTGTTCATCATTACCTCTTGGAACGGGCCTGGAGTGAGTCTGCCTGCCGTGTCTGATCCCGTCTCCAGCCTACAGCAGGCTCTCTGTGCCAGTTCATGGGGGTGTGGTGCCAGGAGGCCTGGTTTGGAATGGCTCTACCCTCATTGCTTGGCAGTGATTTTGTTTTGACGAATGTCTCGTTTCTGCCTCTAGGTTCTCATGAGCTGTGGGGGTGGGGGAAGGCACTGGTGAGAGTCCTATAAGCCCCTGGGGACTAAGGAACCAGGAAAGACTTCAAGTGTGACTTAGCCTCTGAGCCCCAAATGTAAGGCTGGGTTCTAGGTGATGAGAAATAGGCACTGAGCTGGGGACACTTCGTGGGGCGTACCTGGGAAAGACCGGCACGGCCAGTTTGCTGACACACCAGGTTTCTGACAGCAGCTGCGGATCTGAAGCCAGGACAGGGAGGTCGGCACTCAGCCCTCGGAGGCCTTGGGTGTCAGGGTAGGACTCTGGACCTGGGCTGGGAAGGGGAAGCCGTTATGAGCTGAGGGAGCTCACGTGGTGTGAGGACTCTGGAGCCAGCAGGGCCATCTGGCATGGGGTCACTCAGCCCCTAGATCCACAGATGTAGAAGCTGGCTCAGAGCGGGGAGGGCTGGCCTCAGGTCACACAGCGAGGAGTGAGCTACTACAAGAAGCACTTATTAAAAAATATGTTTTTTATTCATTTCAGAGAGAGAGAGAGAGAAACATCAACAATGAGAGAGAACCATTGATTGGATGCCTCCTGCAAGCCCCACACTGGGGATAGAGCCTGCAACCCAGGCATGTGCCCTGACCGGGAATAGGACCATGGCCTCCTGGTTCATAGGTCAATGCTCAACCACTAGCAATGCCGGCCGGGCAGGAGCATTTTTTTTTTAATAAACAAAAAGCCAAGTTTATTTGCTCATTTCTTGCGTTTGAAGTACTCCTTGATGACACCCTGAGCCTGAGACTCTGCCATAGTCCTTAACCACCACGCAGCTGCAACCAACCACTTTACGGTGTTTCCCTCTCTGTCAACTTTACAGAGGCCACCATTCCCCTAGTTTCTTGTCGTCAACCTTAATTAGGGTGATTTGGTGTTAGCACAAAGAGCCTCCCCCAACTGGACATAATAGGCTCATCACAGCTGGATGCAAGTACAAAGGGGGGCTTGGCCCTTGTCTGAGGCTTTGGCAGCTTCGAGAATTCTGCGCTAGGCCGTGGTGGGTGAGGGCGGTCTTCAGCACCTCTTGCAGAGCAGTATTAACGTCCGTTACACCCCCAGCAGCCATACCTTCCTCGGCCATGGCAGTGGGTTATGGGTAGAGCCGAATCTTGAACGCACCCAAGCCTCCGCCTCTGCGTAACTCCGCGGCGACAGGGGAAGAGGAGCATTTTTTGACTCCACTCCCACCCCTGCCACCTATCCCCAGAGGTGAGCAGGACTCGGAGCCATACTCTGGGAGCATGGCCACAAACAGTGACATCCAGATCCAGATATAAAGCTCTGCTCGGGTCACACACAAAGAGGAGCCTCGAGGCCCTTCTCACAGGGCTGCTGCCCCTGCGCTCCCCCATCCCCTCCCTGTGTGACAGTGGCCCTCCTAGGTCAGAGCTCAGGCCTGTTCCCTTTGGATGGGAGGTTCGTCTACTTGTCTTAAATAGTGGAGGATACTTCTTGGCTCCTCGTGTTCCTCATTCGGGCTCTGCCTTCTGCTCACACAGCAACCACTTTGTGTGGGCGCCGTGGGGATGGCAAGGCATTGGTGTTGGACCAAGCAAGTGCAAGCCCTGCCCTGCGGGCCTTCCAGCCGCACTCCTAATGCAGGTGCGCTCTGCGTCTCCTGGGAGAGTGTCTTTCCCTCGCCCCAGGCTGGCCAGGGGTGGGTGGGCCTTGTTGGACCCTCCATCCCCCCTTGCATAGGCAGGTCTGGCCACATGTCACCTGAAAAGGCCGGAGCTCTCCTCCTCTCTTCACTCTGTCCCCTGAGCATCTGGAGGGTAAAAGCCAGTGTCTGCTCAGCCTGAGAACCACCCTGCTGGGTGCAGCCTGTGATGCCAGCTTACATGGCCAGCCTCTGGGTCCAGCCCAGGGGGGTGTCCCAGGGCCATTTCTCCCCAGAATATCCTCCTCCTCCTTTCCTCTGGCTGACATTTTCTCTACATTCCCTTCCACTGACAAAGGTCTGGGCAGAGCTTCAGAGTCAGAATAGCCCTAGTCCAGTCCAGCCTCCCTACCTACTCTCCTGGGACCAGGGCACAGCACTTAATCTCCCTGAGCCTTGGTGCCCTCATCTGTGAAATGGACAGAAAGCACTGAGGGTAGAGCAATGAGTGGGCCATACGCTGGGATGTGTCTCAAGTCCCAGACTGGCCCATGGGAGAGCCAAGCTAGGAGACCTACCTGGGTGCTGAGTTGGGTCAAAGTTTCCTTGCCCTGCCTGCAGCTTCCTTGTCACTGCTGTTTGATGACAGTGGGGCTGGGGCCAGGATTCTCACCTGGCTCTTGGCACAGCAGGTACATTTACGGTTTATGCTGATGCGGTGTGTACCAGGGCAAGGGAACCTACAACCGAGGTACATGCCCTTGACCAGGAATCAAACCCAAGACCCTTCGGTCTAAGGGCTGATGCCCTAACTACTGAGCAAAACCGGCCAGGGCAAGAAGTATTGTAATGGGGAATTATAGGCCACACATCTTAAAAGAAGTAGAACCCCCTGAGACCAGGATAGAGGGCGCCCTGGGCACTTTCATGGGCTTATTCGGACCCTCTGTGCCCTCATGATGCCCCTGGTCACCATGGCCAGCCCCCATTAGAGGACACCACACCTTCCACATCAGACAGTGCAGAGGGGCCAGAAGCGAGGGCCCACTTGGCTCCAGGACAAGAGGGCAGTAGGAGATGAGGCGTGCAAACAAACCCTCGGTAAACAGGCAAACAAATGTCACCATGGCAACATTGAACTCAGACCAAAAAGATGAGCAGGTCCTGGAGGAAGAGCCTTTGGGGTAAAAACAGAGGTGAAAAGTTCTGGAGGCGGGAAAAACCAATGCTTCAGGGAATGTGCACGTTGGGGCGGAGTCAGGGGATGGAGGAAATGGCAGGGTGGGGTGCGAGGTAGGTTTGGGCGCTCACCCAGGCCTCCTGGGTGCTGACTAAACACATAGAGTCTATTCTAAGTTGATAGGAGGCCCCTGGACAGCCATAAGCAGCAGTGACACAATTCATCAGACCATCAGAGATCAGTCTGACTGTGTCAGGAGTGAGGGAGAGCAGGGGCCATGGAGGGGCCAGGCCATCACGCCGGTGAGAGGTGAAGGGCTCTGGAGGTGAGCGGAGCAGGTCACTTCCCGGGAATATTGGGAGGGCAGAGTGACAGACAGAGCCACAACCCCAGTTAGCTTTTTGTACCCGAGGCAGGGATCAGACATCCCCCAACAAGCGTCATGTTTGTTCAACAAACTGACCTTTGTTCTTCTCTTGGACCAGGAGAAGTTCTGCATGGGACACCCAGAGGAGGACAGGGCCAGCCTGTCCAGGACCGGGCCCAGCCCTCCCTCCTGCTGGGGTCACTTTGGGCAGGGCCTTCCTTCCTGCTGGGGGCCCCAGTGCTGGACACTCAGCACCTCTCCCTGGCCTCACCCCCTTGCCTCTCTCTGCAGACTCGCCTGCAGGCCGGCGTGGGCTATGGAAACACCCTCAGCTGCATCCGCATGGTGTACAGGAAGGAGAGTGTAAGTGCCCCTTGGGCGGCGGGCGCTGGAGCCACCCCCACCAGGGCCTCCCACAGAATGGGGTGAAGCCCACCCAGGCCTGGGGACGTGGCCACAGCCCTGCCACCGGCAGGTTGGGTGGAGGCCCGTCTGTTCCCGCTCATCACATTTAGCTCCATTTTCCCTGATCAGCTCACACCCCCTAACCCTGCCACCTAGTGTGATGCTATGGGAGAAAAAACCTGGTTTTGTATAACTGCTTTGGAGAAATTCACCACAGTGTGGAAAATTCCTGCAAGAAACAGGGTGACCTGTCAGGTTTTCAAAACCGAGTGAGTGGCTGGTACCATGTGCTCACAGGCTTCCTTTCATCCAGCGCTGGAGCCAGGCGCTCCGCCATCACACGCCCACAGCTGGCTTGAACCACAGCTCGAGGCCCTGGGACCCAAGATCTTTCTTTGCAAATGGGGAAAGGCTGAATAATGTTTTATAGAAGATGCATCAGGTGCCCTTCTTGAGAATTATCGGATGCTTTAGGGAGACTATCTAAGGCCTCTTTTGGGGGGATTTAAAATAAACTGTAAAATTTAGGATGACATGACCTGTTGATTTAAAGCAATGGCCAGGTGTTAGCCCCATGGCAGTCCCAGGCTTGTCTTCGAGTCACCAGAAATGTGGCCCCATTGTTGACCACTGTCCCCCTGGGACGTGGCCTGGATCTCTCTGATAGGCTGCTTTAGAACTGGGCGAGTCCTACCAACCTGGTACTAACTGTTCCAGGGTAATGCGCAATCCCTCAGTGCCCGGGAAGCGGTTGTTGATTCTCCCTGTTGGCACATGTCCCCCACGTGTCTGCCAGCCAGTGTCAGCTCCATGGTTTCTGTGGGGACCATGGATGTTCCTCTGAGACACAGCAGCTCAGGGCTTAGCAATGCCCCAGGTGACCTGAGGAAGAGGGGAAGCAGGGCATGTGTGTGTGTGTGTGTGTGTGCGCGCGTGTGTGTGTGTGTGTGTGTGTGCGCGCGCGTGTGTGTGTGTGTGTGTGTCTGCTGCATGTGTGAGCAAACGTGCATGTGTGAGGTGTCCTATCTCTGACACATAAGGTGCAGGCACGAGTTTGGGATTAGCAGGTCTTCATGAGGCCTGGGTTTGTGCGACGGCTTCCAGGATTTTCACCTTGGACGTGGGGTGGGGCTCAGATGCCGCCCTGACTCCTCCAAGGCTGTGGGATTTCCCGTGTCTGCAGAGCATCTGTGCTGTTCGCCGAGCTTACAGTCTGAAGGACCTTCTCCGCAGCCTCCAGTGTCCTGCCTGCGTGCAGAAGCCTTTCCATGCTGGTTTTCCCGGGGCTCTTTCCTTGAGCTCTTCTTCCAAGAGACACCCCTGCTCAGGGGCACCCATCTGCAGGCTGGCCCAGGTGTCCCTGGGGGCTGTGGCACCTCTTCTTAGTCCCTCACCACAGCATAGCACATTATAGTTTCACTAGAGGCCCGGTGCACAAAATTCGTGCATTGGGGGGGTCCCCTCAGCCCAGCCTGCACCCTCTCCAATCCAGGACCCCTAGAGGATGTCTGACCCCCAGGGATCGGGCCTAAACCAGCAGTTGGACATCCCTTTCACAATCCTGGACCACTGGCTCCTACTCACTCACCTGCCTGCCTGCCTGATTGCCCCTAACTGTCCCCCCTGCTGGCCTGGTTGCCCCTAACTGCCCCCCGCTACTGGCCAGGTTGCCCCCTACTGCCCCCCCTTGCTGGCCTGGTCACCCCCAATTGCCCCCCCTGCTGGCCTGGCCACCCCCAACTGCCCCCCCTGCTGGCCTGGTTGCCCCTCATGGCCCCCCACTGGCCTGGTCACCCCACGCAGCCTGCTTTTCAGTCGTTTGGAACCCTCCTGCTGGCCTGGTCGTAGGCAGCCATCTTTGTGAGGGTGTGACAGTCAATTTGCATATTACCTCTTTATTATATGGGATTTGTCCATCCAGATTCACCTCTCCCCCACTCCGCCCCCAGACCCTGAACTCAGGGAAGCTTTCCTTCTTATTGTTGGCCCCAGGGCCTGGCACATGTGTGGCAAGTGCCCAGAGAAAGCTTTTGTGGGAGTGGCAATGAGGAGGGTGTGTGTGATGCTTGGCAAGCCCACTTACCCACTAGGGCTCCACAGACCCCCTCGGACACAGCCTAAGACAACTGCCACTCCCTTCCTGTCACAGCATCCAGGGAAAATACTGGTTACAGGCCCAGGACACACCCTCTGTCAACAAGACTTTACGCAGAAGCTGGTTTCTCCTCAGGGCAGGAATGTCCTCACCTCCATCTCCTTTCACATCTGCATCTGCCCGTGTCCTCTTCACTGGCACATGGATTTATGTCTCCCCACCAGCCTGTGGGAGGGCAGGCCTGTGCCCAGGACAGTGTGGGGAGCTTGGCACCGCCTGCAGTTCTCACGCGTCCTCTCCGGGTTTCCCCACAGGTGTTCGGCTTCTTCAAGGGCATGTCCTTCCCCCTGGCCAGCATCGCCGTGTACAACTCGGTGGTGTTTGGGGTCTTCAGTAACACGCAGAGGATCCTCAGCCAGCTCCACAGCAGGGAGCCTGAGGCCAGCCCGCCCCGCACCCTGTCAGACCTGCTCCTGGCCAGCATGGTGGCCGGCGTGGTGTCCGTCGGACTGGGCACGCCTGTGGACCTCATCAAGATCCGCCTGCAGATGCAAACACAGGCATTTCGGGAAAGTAAGAGGGCTGGGAGGGGCCTGGTGTCTGGGCACCTGGGACCCCCTCCTCATTTGCCAGATTTGGGGTACGGGGATAACATCCTTTCTATTGAGCGGGGCATCTATGTGGTCATGTGATAGTCTGTCATTATTATTCCTTTACCTAGATAGGAACTCTCACTGGCTACGTATTTACCATGTGCTGGGCATGCTGAGAGCTCTGCTTGTGTTCTCTTAATTCGTCTTTATGGCCATTCTGTGAGGCAGATGCTGTTACCCTTTCCATTTACAGAGGAGAAAACTGAGGCTCCCAGAGGTCAAGGCACTAATTCAGGGACACGATTAATCTCTGTGAGTGAGGACCAGCTACGCAATTTGCAGTGCCCAGTGAAAAGGGAAAACGTGGGATCCTTGTTCAAAGTCATTAAGAATTGAAAAAGGGTAACAGCAGAGCAGGAAGCCAGGCACGGGGCATAGGTCTCCAAGCCACACCTGCCCACGTACCTGTGCCTCGCACCTGGACAGGCCGCAGGGGCGTGAAGGGGACTGCTCCTCTCCTCGCCCTTGACACCCCAGTGAAAGCTTCGTTTCTCGGTGTGCCCTGTGGCCACTCCTGCACCTGTCACTTCCTCCTGCTGAGAGGCTCCCGCATCTTCTCCTGGGAGTGGTTCAGACCAAGGAGGAGGGAAGGTACCAGGAGGCACTTCCTGTGCTGAGGAGAAGGTGCCGGATCTAGAAGGATGAGCTGGGGGTCTTAGAAGACAAATTTCAGCACCTTGGAGTTTGGGTCTTGGCTCTGATTTCACTCTGTCTCCTCAGGGAAGACACTGCCCCTTCCTAGGCCTCAGCCTCCTGCTCTGTATAACGGAAGGGCTGGATTCGTGACCCTTCCTGTCACCTCAGGCATCCAACGGGGCTAACTGCCCCCGTGGAGAAGACCCCTCTCCCCGGCAGCCTGCTGCCTGTGACCACAGACTGAGCTCCCAGAGCTGGCGCAGGAGCAGCCCAGCCAGCGGGTCTGCTGCGGCAGCCCAGGCGCCTTGATTCAGCCTGCGCTCCCTGCCCAGCGGGAGGGTGTCCGGGGCTGGCCTTGAACTGTTCCTCGGGAACCCTCGAGGCCAGAGGGAGAACACTCAGACTCACTGGGACCAGGAGGTCACAGAAGTGAGCGGAGAATGAAACCTCTTCCCCTGGTTGCTACCCACAGCCCTCCTGGCCTGCGTTTCATTTTTCCTCTTTCCATGTAACACGGACACAGACGTCCTGCCCTTCCCACATCGCTCTGCCGTTAGGAAGGCAGTGGTGGAAGCACGTGCATCAGCTTCCGCACATGGAGGCAGTAGGGCGTGGTGGGCCCACATCCTATCCGAGGGAGTGGCTAGATCCTGCTGACAGTGGCCACGGGGCCTGGATCTTTCGATTTTTAAGGGACAGCAGAAAGCTAGATTTATCTGTGGGGTCTTTCAATTGGAAATTATTAGATAATTAAAAACGAAGCCAAACACAACAGGACACCGCACAGCTCAAAGCACAGTGCAGGCGGGGGCCGGCTGCAAGTTGTGGTCGCTGCTCTGGGTCAGGCCCTCTCTGCGTGGTGACTGGGCTGAGGTGGGCGTTTCCAGCAGCCTTGAACAGGGCTTGTGGGATTGCTCACGGCTTGTGGCATTGCCCCTGAATTGCCCATGCACTTTCTGGGTGGTGACACTGAGCCATGGGAGACTACGCCCATGTGCCAAAGCCAAGTGCCAGAAGCCTCCAGCTTCTCTGCAGCTCAGGTCACTGCTTGGCAGATTTGCAAATTTAAAGCCAGTGGTTCTACTAAAGCCTGATTGTCCATTGGTGGTGACCCGTGGCTGAAAATGCACAGCATGGACTATAGAGGGAGAAGATGCCCATCCTCCCAAATGCAATCCCTGGGTTCTTTTTCTAAAATGGATTTTAATTGATTTCAGAGAGGAAGGGAGAGAGAGAGGAACATCAATGAAAAGAGAGAAATCATTGATTGGCGGCCTCCTGCACACCCCCTACTGGGGATCGAGCCAGCAACCCAGGCATGTGCCCTGACCGGAAATTGAACCATGACCTCCTGGTTCATAGGCTGACGCTCAACCACTGAGCTATACCATCTGGGCTACAATCACTGGTAACACACATTTCTTTTCCTTTTCTATACACATAGATTAAATATTTTAGGAGGTTATACTCATATTACCTAGGCAGTTTCATATTCTGTTTTTAGCTCAACATTATAACAAATATTTTTGTTATTAAAATAGCATATAAATTATTTTAAAATAGATGGATAATATTTTTAAAGGATGTGCAATATTCCATCAAATAGACACGCGCATGCAAAGACACACACACACACACACACACACACACACACTCTGAGAAGACTGATGCGTGTGGTCACAATTTAGTTTCTGGAGATAGACTACCTGCTTCTAATTCTCTGCCAGTGTCAAGAAACTTTGGACGCCTCGCCTAACATGGCCAAGCCTCAGGTTACTCATTTGCAAAGCAGGCATAATAGCAGCTATTTTGCATCCGAGATGGAATGGGATAATGTTATACATGAAGGTCCTAACACACTGAAAAGTCGAAACCAGTGCTTGCTATGATTTAGTAAGCTTATTATTTAACAGTCATTCTAGTGATGAACATTTAGGTGGTTTACAGTTTTTCCTCTTCTAACAATAGTGATGTCGTCAGCAAACTTTTCCATAAAGAATTGCCTTTATTTAGGATTACTTCCCCTAAATGTGTGGGCTCTTTGATTCCTGAGAGGGTCAAAGGCTATGGTCATTTTTAAGATTCGTGGTACCTGTGAAATTGGTATACAGAAGGGCTTTGGCAGCTTACATGTGGGGTTGCTGGAGGTCAGAGAGAGTTTCCATTGGCACAGACTGCCATTGCGTCCAGAACAGCAGTATCCCTCATAAACTCTTCCTCCTGGGCCTCTGCCACTTGGCAAACAAGGAAGAGCTGGCCTGAGTTCAGTGGGACGTGGCCTTGACAGCGGGCACCTGTAAAGGGACCCTCCCTTTTAGAGTCATCATTACCCTTTGCACAGTCATGAGCCCCACGGGGAGCCCTGCTGGCCAAGTCCCAGCCTGGAGGCCGATGGCCAACAGCACTCATTCCTCCCCCATCTGGTCTGTGTTTTCAGTAAGAGCCTAATCAATATGCAGATCAGAAAGCCCTCAATACCACCAGAGGGCAGATTTGGGGGGTTAGAAGAGGCCTGGGCATTAACTCTGTGCTGGCCATCCTGGTGACTTCCCCAGGCCCAGCAGGAGGCACAGGGCTGACTGCCACACCTGTTTGAGTTCACTCTGACTCGTTCATTCACTGGTATTTCCAGTCCCTGCTCTGAGCCAAACACAGCAGGTAAATCAGAGGCATCAGGCCACAGCCCCTGCCTTCAGGGAGTGCAGTCTGGTGGGAAGTCAGATGTATAGAATGAGCAGGGCCCGTCGAGGACACTAGAACCTTGGAGCCTGGCGCTGTAGATCAGGAGGCTCCAGAGAGGAAGTGGCTGTTGACCGGGTCTTTGAATACTGGCTAAGATTTAGAGACGGGGTATGGACAAGGAGAGGTGTTTCAGCCTCAGGCACAGTGTAGGGAAAGAGTCGGTGGCAGGAAAGGCAGGCACGTGGCGGGTCGTGGGAGCCTTGGTTAGTGTGGATGTGCAGTGCAGGGAAGGGAAGATGCGGGTGAGTTGTGAAGAGTGTGGCTTTCTTAGCTGAGGATGGGCTCAGGTGCAGGGCAGCAGGCATCGATGATGTAGAACCAACCAGACATGCAGGGGAGAAGAAATTGTCAAAAATGGCCCAGGGATTTCAAAGTTGGGTGACTGTTGAGTGGAACCTCCCACATTGGGAATTAAACGGCAAATGACGTGTGTGAGACAGTGCTTGGCGTAGAGGAGGTGATCAATACGTGCTTATCGCCGCTGCTTGGGAACTGGCTGGCAGGCAGGCTTGAGGGAGGGCGTGATGAGTTTGGCTTGGCTCACGTGTGAGGTGCCTGTGGGACCACAGCTGGAATGTCAGACATAGAAGTGACAGGCATCCATGAGAAAACAGTAAAAAATTTGGGAAGGAGCAGAGAGCTGTAATGACACTAACGTACCTTCGGTGATGAAGTCATCATAGCTGTGAATAGGCACTGTCATTCTCTTTATTTTACAGGCGGGGAAACGGAGGCTCAGGTTAGGTGGCTCGCCTGCTCACTCAGTTGTTTCAGGTGGGACAGGGCATTGCCCAGGCCACCCAGCTCCGCAGCAGGGGAAACAGAGGCCCGAGAGACTCCTGTCAGCAGCATCGGGCAGCAGAGAGAAGGGAGGATTGCTGAGGTAGGGGTGACACTGGGCACAGAGACCAAGGGGTGGAGAAGGAAGAAGGCTTTCTTGCCAAGTTGGGAGAGGACAAGGAAAGAGAGCTTTCAGAGAGAATTCTGAGGGCAAGGGGAAGGAAGGGAAGGTGCTGGCCTCTACCATGTTCAAGGTAATGTGCATAGAATAAAGGGGGCAGCGTGTGGCCAGGATTGGAGGAGGAAAGGGTCCTGGTCTCTGGGCGTGTCAAGAGGAGCCCAGCTGGGCTTCGGGGTCAGAGAAGAGAGGTCAGTGCGGAGGCGGATCTGGACGAGGTCGTCCACTGCACCCAGAACACAAAGCCTGTTTGAGCCCAGGAATCCCCACGCTGACCACCGGGGTGAAAGCACTTCTCCAGTTTCCCCGCATCTTCAGCAGTGTCTGTCTGGGAAGATCACCAGCTGTGCCTCAGAGCCCTCCATACATCAGTTGGTCTCTTTGGCAGCGTGGTTTTATTGCTGCTATAAAGATGTGTGACTGCCAAGATAAACAACTCTTCCCTACGCAGGTTGGCCTTGGGAGGAGCAGCCTTCTGATACAATGGGTTTTCCAATACTTTGCTAGTGCAGGGCAGGACTTACTGATGCTAACTTTCCCGAAGGGAAGCCTATGTGGGAAGGCAGGAACCCTCAGAGCACAAC